CAGTTTGTGCCTATTGTCTCTTGTCCTGACACTAGTACTGTTGATAAGAGTCTGGTTCCATCTTCTTTACTTCCCCCATCAGGTATTGATACACACTGATAAGATCTCCCCAAGCCTTCTCTTCTTGAGGTTAAATAGTCCCAAGCTCTCTCAGCTTCTCCACGTATATCGGATGCTCTTGTCCCTTAACCATCTTGAAGGTCCTTTGTTACATCAGGGTGTCCAGGTCTTCCTTGTTCTGGGGAGCCCCGAACTGGACACTGCACTTCAGATGTGTCCTCACTAGTGCTGACTAGAGGGGAAGATTATCTCTGTCAAACTGCTGGCAATGCTCTTCTTGATGCAGCACAGGTTACTGCTGGCCACCTTTGCTGCAAAGGCCTATTGCTGGCTCACAGTCAACTTGCTGTCCACCAGGACCACCATTATAGATTCAAGAAAATAAAATGTTACATTTTTTTAAAAGCTACATTCAACTTGGATTTGCCCATACACTCATTTTAAAACACTGGCAAGAAGGAAGATGAAGTAATCAGACTACGAGATATCTACTGCCAGTTGCAGAAGACTTTCTACATGACCTTGAATGGAAAGAAAAAACCCACATAAAAAACATATGCGTCTCAGTTCCCACCCATAATGTGGAAAAAGCAAATAGTTGTGATATACAATGAAAATACAAGATTGAGGTCTCTGGATGAGCAACCGTGTCTCCCACCATGCACATGTACAGTGCACAGCACAAGGAGAAAAAAAGGAGGGGAGACATTGATCTCTGTTGCAGCCTCCAAGCAAAACTGTAATATAAAAAGTAGGAGTGGGTGGGAAGATTTGAAACAAGGTACAAATCCTTGGAGCAAGGATTCTGAATTCTTCTACATTTGGAAAGCAGCCAGCAACATATACTGGAACAGGAATCCCAATAAATGGAATTTATTCTTAAAATGCGTTTCAGAAATTGTAATGTTTCATTGAAATTAAAATAGTAACAGTCTCAGAATTAAAACATAACATTTAACTCTAGTGTGTGTGTGTATATATATTCTTGTTCTGATCTTACCGTTCTTTCTATTCTGTTTTTCAGCTGGAAAACAGGAAAGGCATATATTTTCATATTTCATATTATTTAAGAAGCTGGGAAAAGAACTCGGCTCTCAAGCTTGAGATCAAATGCCCTTAGGTTTTTGGTTGGAAGAGGGAAGGAGGAAGAGGTTAAAGAATTGGGATGTAAAGGGGAAAGAAATAATCCACATCCCTATTCATGTGGAATAGATTGGGGTTGGAGGTTTGTTTTTGCTTAAACCCCAAGAACACTGGACGAATAGTATACACAAGTTCAGAATGAATCATCAGTGTATTGAACCACCAATGCAAAAGATACATTATTTAACGAGACCACATAGATAAGGGAAGAAGAGATTCAGTTCAGGGATACAGAAGGCAATCCGAATATCAGCCTGTTTGAATTAATATTTATCAGTTCAGCAGCATGGAAGAAAGAGGGAGGGAATGACACTGAGGAGCAAATACAGTGCAACTGTTACATACTGAGAAGGAAGAAAGGGGTTCTCAGGATTAATTTGCTCTCCTGATAAGGGCTACTATTCATATCTACTCCTTTGCTTTTAAAACAGATGCTGCTTTCACTCTGTGGTGACATAAATGACATCTTCATAGCCTTTTTTTATGTGAAGCTTTTGGGATGCTCTCTTCAGCACGTTAATTACACATGAAGTCCCTTTTTGTACAATCTATTCCCATACTGTCAGAACCATGCTATAGCCCACAGTAATCTCTGGACTGAAGACAAAAACAGCACCACCAACATTCATAGCTCAAGCATATCCTGAAAGTAGCATACTCAGCAGCGTTGAGCCCTTCAGCCACCTCCAGCCTCTCAAAGAAAAAAAGACCTCATACCACCCAGTAACCATTAGCACATATGTTCAGTCATGAATTGGAGCAGTTAACACTATTATATATTCAGTTCCAGCAAAAGAATGGACATAAGCCAACCACCTTATTAAGAAAGAGCCTTGTGCTGTCTCCCAGAGCACTCTAGGTGGACCATGAGGTCTCAAAGATCACGCTTGGTTGGTTGTTTAAACATTAATTTTATGATTTTATTCTAGAGAATGAGTATTTCTTTTGACAAGCAATTTTGACAACACATGGGGATCTTCCCTTCTTTGTGAAGGCAAGTAGGCAGATTCCTGTTGTGTTCATTTCTTTCCCTTGAGCACTGCCCAGCAGTGCAGGTTTATATCTGTATAACTTTGCTTTGAAACACTTCCCGATTTTCAAACCAAGGCATTTAGTTGCCTAACACCCCCTGCTGGGTGGAAATACATGGCTAAGTTCTATGAACAGCTTTGAAAGTTACACTGGTTATTAGTAAGCTATTGCTGCTGAGTCAAAATGTTGGAGCACAAAAACAAGGTATAGAGGTCCTACAAAAAAAAAGTAGCTTTTCCTTCTGAATGCATTTCCCAGTGACAAGACAGCTAACTTTTAAGAGAGTACAGACTCAAGGCAGAACATTCTCCCAATTTTTAAGACCTCAATTTAATACAAAATCTAATAAGTGCTTAACATTCTGCACACATTTGAGTGTGTAGGAGGACTAAAGTTAAGTTCACGCATTAGAAAGCTATGTGCTTTGCTTGCCTAACACCAAGAACCTGTTGGGACTATACAGTTGCCAGAGTCTCAGTGCCTTAAAAATGAAAGCAATCAATAGAGCAGAAAGAAGTGATAATATTGTATGATATAGCTGAGCTCAACTCATCTGCCAGGCCTTGCCTTCACACGAGCAATGTTTTCATCTGCTTAGAACCAGCAGGGGCTGTATCTGATGAACCACAAGGCACTATTGCTTAAGAACAATCTTCCAATCAAACTGATGTTTAAAAGATATATTGCACTTTGCTTACACAATAATAGAATGCGCACATACACTCTACTGAGGGCAAGAGCATACAATCAATACTGTATTTGATTTTATAGCGAAAGCATACATAATCCTGTCTACAACAAGCCAGGTGCAGAAACTTTAAGCTACCCAGCATGATTATATATGCAAGGCCCAGACAGACTTCCTTATCCTGTATAACTTCAGTGACTGGGATACTGAAATATTTTAGCGGTACTGGTTGTAAACGTGTGAGCAAAATCTTCAACTCTTAAAATCAGCATAGGACTGGAGAAACAGATGGACACGTGGCAGTTCATTTAGCTGAGAATCCCAAGTAGCTGCAGTTGTCCTAACTGTGCAGTTAGAAAAAACTCTTGTAAACCTACTTTACTACTACTACTTTCTTGCTTATCTTCCTCCTACCAGAAATAGGAAGAATGCAAACATACATGCAGACATATATCTAAAGCTGAAAGGCTGTCCAATGTCTCTAGTTACTCCAGCAGAGTCCTCATATCAAAGCACTATGATTTCTAACCCTACTTGCATCACTTGTTGAAGCCAAGCCCTTAACAAAGAATCATTTAATATTCAAGCCAAAATTGAGTTTTGGGGAAAACAGACAATTCTTCTTGTCCTCTACTGTGTTCCCAATACCCAAGACTGTAAGACCAACTTGAAAGAGGACATTAAAATCACAAACTGTGTCCCAAATGCATTTTTGGTGTTAAAATCTAAAATGCTAGTGTTCTCTTTGCTGCCTAAAGGTACACAACCACTTTAATCAATTTTGACAGTGGTAAACTGCCTATTCCCAGGCAGAGAAATATGTTCATGAAATGGCCAAACACCAGATTTACCTGCATTTTCATCTGTGCCCCAAACATAATCTGAAGGTGCGAATTACTGTATTTCACACAGTAACCCTAGGGAGCAACAGACTTTTATTGCATCTCCATTAAGTAGATCATAATGTGGCTAAAGAACTAGACATGTGGAGAAGCAACCAACTATTATAGTAACAGCATAGACTGTACGCTGCTGTTCAGCACTCAGCTCAGCATGGAGCGCAGGTCACCTGTTCATCAAATGGGAAGCAACTCAAAGGGCCATGTAACATGTAGGAGCGAAATTAACACATTAAAAACAGATAAAAGAAAGAGTAAGGGAGATGTCATCTGCTGAGCAGCACAGTAACTGGGATGAAAAGCTGGATCAGTGACTTCCTCTGTAACTGGACAAATTACTTACAGCCCAAATTCTTCTGCCCTGCTTATTTTTCAAAGGCTATACATTTTTTGTGTCTTTTGCTGAATGCATGCACAATGCTTAGCTCAGACATTTAAACCTCATTTAAACCTTCTAGGCACTACCACAATACTGATACATTACAATTAAAATAACATAACCAAAATCCCCTAGAATATCACATTTAGTTGTTTTTGAAGAAGTTGTTTTGGCTATTTAGTGGCAGTATTAAAACTCAGTGATTCCACAGAACTCTGTATTAACTGTGCAACACAGACAAAAGTGTGCTTCTACTCTCCTACTGACAGCAAGCTAGCTGTTACATTTAACCTTATATTGTGGGACAATTTCTTTATTTGTTTTTAAACAAGAATTAGAGCTTGGCTCTCACTGGTTTCAACAAAAAGTAAGCAAGTGAACGTTTTGAGAAGTCTAGCCTTATTTTGTGAGGTTTCAGTAATACTTATGAGGTGAGGAAGAGAGACAACTTGGGAAAGAAAAGACGACACAATATGTTACTACCATTAAAGGTTTCATGTTTAAACACCTTTTCAGCTCTGCATACCTTTGTGGACTTCAGTCTAATTTTTAAAATAGGTTACTTAATAATAAGATATACAGATATAGTGAAAAACTAAGCCTTTGCTTGTATGTAATTTGAGATTCAAGACACTTCTAAAAATCAGGATCCTCATTGCAGGGGCGTTGGAATAGATGGCCTTTAAAGGTCCCTTCCAACCCAAGCCATTTTGTGATTCTGTGTGATTCTGTGAACTACCCTACTAGCGTGCCCACTGTATCAAACAACATACGCATACAGTCAGATGAGCCAACATACCCAGGACACCACTCTTCCATTGAAGCAAGGTAGCTTTGCATTGTCGTCTGAGATCTCCTCCTTTACCACCCTGGAAAAAAAAAGAACACAAAACAACAGGAAGAAAAATCAAGAGTTTGAAATTACATCAGATCAGAAGGGACAGTGGTTTTATTAAATGGCCAAGGAAAAATACAAATTTTTACTGAAATGTTGGTATCAGCAAGTCCTCTATGTTTAAAGACTACGTGACTATTAGAACAAAGGAAGCAAGTAAAATAAAGGGCAGAATAGTACCCTTCCAGACAACCATACCAAACTGGTAGGTACAAAAGTAATTACAAGCATTTTTCCCACTTTGGAGTATTCCATCTCACCACAATTTTTAAAGACCCAATGGTTATTAAAATCCCACTGTGCTGTGCAGTCTCTGTGTCAGAGATCACAGATCACAAGTTAAGGCCACTCTATCAGCAAAGAAAGGACTATTACCTCCACGTCCTAGACTGGATTTGGAGACAAAACACAGCACCTTCCCCCCGAGGCATTGAAGAGTTGTGGTCAAGCTTCATATTGAACCCTCATCTCCTGTACATCAGACAAGCATCTCGACCTTCTTCATTAACTCAAGCTCTCTTACCACTCTTGCTAGCCACACACCCCTCTTGCTCCCCACACCTCCCTCCTTTTGCCCCAAGACGGTTTCAAAATGGTTATCAAGGCTGAGGCCTGGCCCCGTCAGGGGAAGAGCTGACATGGTCAAATACAGAGGTGCAGCTGTGGCTTCGAGTTCCCTCCCATAGCCCATTCCTTTTTAAACAGATGCAATGTCAATATAGCATTTAGCTAGGAGATAGTCTGAAGGCTCCTTGATAAAAAGCTTAATCCAGAACTCAAACCCCTATAATTAAGGAGAATAAAACCAGCAATTTGTTTTACTAGCATAAGTGTTTTCATAAGGTTTTCCATTCTGAAGACACTTACTGTGACTCAGTATCTCAGAATCAGCATTTGTTTCAATAGTTTAAGATTGGTCAGAGCCAAATATAAACAACACAATTCCTGAGAAAACAGAAGAGCTCCCATTTCATTAGGCTTAATTCCAAGCTTCCAATTCAGCAAGAATTGAAGTTACTTCAGATGTTTCTGTTCTTCTAACCAGCACAGTAACCATGGCCCTCATTTAATAACCTCACATTCATTAAATTAGCCAGTCATAACCACATATACGTATTTATAGCTACAAAAAGATATTCTGAATTCTTCAAACAATTCAGTGCCCACTCGTCCTCTTAGAAAGTAAAGTAATCATGTTTTAAGTCAGCAAGATCTTTATCAGGTCTGCTGGAGGCAAAAAGAGCCACCAGTTCTCGTAACTCCTGGACTAAGTAGCCTGCACAGCTGAACGCACTCTAGAAGGTGTCTCTAAATCCCATCCAGGATCTGGAAATAATGGCACTGTTGACTACATCAGGGTCACTTCCTTCAGAATCATCCAGACAAAAAGAGCAGGTTCAAAACCAACTAGCTGTTCAGTACTACTGGGAGTAATTTGTTACTGCCTTGAAGCACTCTTCGCAACAAGCCCCCAGTGAGCCAGCTTCTAACACTACAAACCAATTACAAATGTCATCTTTCAACAGGGCACTTTAAACCTTATTTTTTAGCACTGCTGCTTTAACCTGGAGAGTTCCAATTTAAAGCAGAAAAAAACAAAAAAGAGCTGTATTTGCATCAGCTTCCTTAACAAACCTCACCCATTTATACAAGGCCATGATCTCTGAGAAAGTGATTTTGTGTTTAGAGAAGAGGTAAACATTTCTGGAGACTTCTGAAGAGACCATCAAATGAGAAATTTTAAAAGAATCACCATTTCAGAAACCAGTCTGAGTGGTGCTTCAGTTTTCAACCTGTGCTTCATTACTTAATTTCAAATCAGAACCATTGAATTCTGCTAATTCTGAAATCCTGACTATAGGATTTGGTAAAACAGCTGGGCTGCTTCATTGTTACAGTTCAGTAGTTTCAGCGTAAAATGATGTGGTTCTGAATCAGTGCTATGTTGGATTCTCTCTTGTTGATGATGGTCCACAAGACAGGACAGAAATGGTCCGTGTTATCTATTACAACACTTTGGTCTGTTTAGCTCTAGTAAGGAGATACAGATGAAATGCCAGGCAACTGGCTCCTCATTTGGTTTCTCTGATTAAGGGTAAGAAAAACACCACTCTTCGAAACAGGAGCCCACAGAGTCACCATTATACTCCCTTCTCATCCCCTCACTCTCCCAATAGCACAGGAATCACTTCTGCCTAGAAAGCAGACCTTAAGGACAAGCTTCCTTTCAAGCCTTTTTTTTTTTTTTGAATCTGCAAATTGGAGCAAACTCTAAACCTAGTATCTGGCAGAAGCAAGGCAGCCCCAGGCAGGGCAGCATAGAGAATCCCACACGATACCACACACCACACACCCCATACAGCAATTATCGAAACCTGAAGCCCTGCGCAAACATCTCTTCAAATGCTACTACTGCCTTCCTTGTGTGCAGGACTTGCCAAATTCCCGTTTCAAGCAGCCTCATGTACACAAATACTCCCACACAACACAGCAAGCTTGCAGGACATTTCAATCCTTCTTATTTCTTATTTCTTAATTTCTTTTAAAGTCTCTTATTTCTTAATTCAGAGTTTACCTGAATTCACTTAAACCATAGTACTCTATTTATCAGAGTTACAGGAATAGCATCAGTGTTCACAACTCCATGGCTTCCTCTAAATGCAGAGCCCTCCTCTTCCATTTCTGCCTGGATCCAAATAAACTAAGGCTGTACGGCAGCTGAGACCAACCACGTACTTCTGCTAAGTCCTGGGAGCCACTTGTCCAAGAAAGGGTTTGTTTCATGATTCTGAAGAGAGAGGGATATTCACAAAGGTGGCTGCCCACATCAGGGAGAATTGGCTGGGCTTTTTGTTGAGTTTTGGTTTTGGTGGTTCTTAATATACAGCTTGAAGGAACTGACCTAACTAATAGAAAGTCACTCAACTGCAAAAACACCAGGTTTGCTCTCAAATATAAGGCTTTACTACTACATATTGATGTGAATACTCAAGACATTCTTTTAGTTACCTAAAGGGTCCAACCAAAATTAGGAACCTTTTGAACAAGGCACTGTACAAACACACAGGAAAGCTCTTCAGGGCGGAGGCTGCCTATATACGTGCAGAGAGGAGATACCGTGGTACGGTTATACCAAATCAAACAGCAGATTTGTAGCAGAAATTGATTTCTGGCCTCAAGTCCCTACAGAGGAGAACAGGAACAATTTGTTTTTTACAATCTCTAAGCTTTAAAAAAGCCAACCTGAAGTCCAGTCAAACTCAATAAAAATTTGTGGTTCCACAACCACATTTTCCTTTATTTATGTTTTTGTCTTTCTTGTTGCTGTGTAAAAAAACCACAATAGCCACAAAGCAACTGACTATGCATGAAACCGTGTCATATTATGAGGGGGGAAAAAACTGGTTAAGAAGGAGAAGAAAGGAGAGGAGAGCAAATGGACGAAGAGTTTCTTTCCACCTTACTTTTGGAAAATTAGGTCTATTAATACCTGCATTTGCACATTTTAATCAATTTTTTAAAGAAGGAATGAACATTCTCTTCTTTCTCCACATTCACTTGCACTGTTAATGGCTAGCAGTACAGCATTAGGCAGTCTTCACCCCTTTCCTATTATTGGAAAGAAAAAAAATTTAAAATATTCCTTTAACTCCTAATGCATCTGTCCTCCCCTCACCTTTCAGCAAGAGGAAACAGATCATGTGATTTCATTACTGTTTTTAGCCATTTATACCTAGACTCTAGAGAGACAAATAAAAGTAAACTCCGTTGAAACCAACAGATACTCAGTGCTTTAAAAAACCTTTGACAATTCAATGAAGCTCTCAGACCTGTAATTCTGGAGCTGCAAACTCTGTGTGCAGACAATGGATTTCAACATTTGCATGGATTTCCAGCCCCAACCGACTGACTCAAATTCAGACATTATCTTTTGTGTTTCATAGAGTCCTAGAGAGAATACTCACTCAGCAAAGATCCAATTGCAGGATCAACAAATAAAGATGGTGCAATAATTTTATCTTGGCAGCTGCATGTTTTAAATGACAGCATCTTGCCCCTGCACCTCCCAATAAGGAAATGCCACTTACTACATCCCAGAAACCATATGCAGAAGTTCTTCACCAAGCTCTAAGATTTAGACAAAAGTCAAGCCCTAAAAACATACTGATTGTGAGGTTTTCTCCAGGGCAAAGGCTTGGGACTCTTTCTAAAATTGACACATACAGTGGCAGTCAGGATATCCCTGCAATACTGCACAGACTGGTTCAGTTGTCCTCGTGATGGAAAATGAACACACTGAAGTCACCACTTATGAAACAACGCACTCTATCATAGCATTAGCCTTCTGCTGCAGCTAAAGGGAACAACTTCCAGATCTGTTGCAACTTGAACTACTAAATATAGCCTTGAGCTATGAGGCAAGAGAATGACAGACTGTAATTCCCAGCTTGCTTTGGGTAGCAATCAACAATGCCAAGAACATCAAAGACAGCAGCAGCCACTAATTTCAAATATCACTGTTTACTACAAATAATGATTTGTAAAAGAGGCAGCTCCTTTCAATGCTCAGGAAGGGGAAGCAATGGAGAGAAGGCAAGAAAAGAATATGAATGGTTGCAGCCATATGCTTCAGTCTTTGTATTCAAGAAGGTATCTTTTGCTCTACAAGAACTTAGAAGCAAGGGCAGAGGGAGATCCATGCTATTGTCTGCTTTTGGAACACACATGATACATTAGGAACTAATACACAGAGCAGCTTAAGACCAGGGTGGATAAGGCCCTAAGTAATGGGTTTACAACCTAGACCCAACTCAAGCTAGCATGGCAAGGAAGAAGAGGTGATGCATTTGACCTGCCAGAGGTCTGCCATTTGATCTCCTACCGAGATGAAGAAAAGTTTGTTGGTATTGGATGTGGTCCACTGTGGAGATATGACACCAGTGCTCTCAAACAATCATTAATGGACTTGCTGTT